GAGCAAACAGTTACAACAGCTTTGTGTCCAAGTCCAAGTTCATCTCAGGGTCCGTCACCCAAAGAGAACTTACACGCCCGAAAGAACCTCATCCTGCTTTTATCTGTTTCTCGCTTTCTCTCTTTCACCCACCTAGCCCCACACGTCTGCACAATCTACAAACAATCCCAAACTCAAAAGATCCACTGTGTTAATTAGAATATGCCGTTAGATAAGAAGAATTATATACGCGCAACATTGGAAAAATGAAGGAATACCACCAGATGAAGAAATAATTAAAAAAAAAATACTAGAATGCGCAGAGATGGACAGACTATGAGATTGAAAGAAAGAGAAGAAACGGAATATTATCAAACTTGGGACTTATCCTATCGATGGCTGGAGGAAAAAAATGAAGGATTAGGAATTAAATATGTATTAGCAAATGTAAACTCAGACAGCACGTTGGTGGAAAAATTATTGCTGTATGTATGGGGGAAAAATCAATAAAAACTTTTTTTAAAAAAAAAAATAATAGAATATCCCATTAGAATATCCCATTTTTGCTATTTCCTTCCTGGCCTGAAGTCCTTTCCTATTAAGGGAGCCTGTGAATATAGACCAGTGTTTCTCAACCTTGACAATTTTAAGGCATGTGGACTTCAACTCCCAGAATTCCACAGCCAGCATTGCTGGCTGTGGAATTCTGGGAGTTGAAGTCCACATGCCTTAAAATTGTCAAGGTTGAGAAACACTGATATAGACTCAGAAATATAGGTACTGAAAATATAGACTCAAAAATACAGGTGCTCTTCAACTTATGACAGCCCACAATTTCTCTCGTTAAGGGAGACAGTTGTTAAACGTGTTTTGCCCTATTTTGCGACTTTTCTTGCCGCAGCGGCTAAGTGAAACGCTGCAGTTGATGAGTTAGTGACACGGCCGTTAAACAAATCTGCTTCCCCATGGATGTTTGCTTGTCAGAAGATCCCAAAAGGGGATCACGTGATGCCCCGGGACGCTGCCACCGTCATTAAGTACACGCCAGTTGCCGAGCCTCTGAATTTTGATCACGTGACTGAGGGGATGCTGTAACGGCCGTTAAGTGTGAAAAACGGTCGTAAGTCTTCCTTCGGTGCTGCTGTAACTTTCAACGGTCACTAAATGAACGGTTGTAAGTCGAGCAGCTACCTGCCCTTGCTTGAAGTCCTTTCCTGTTAACCCAGACTGAGAATAGATTCAGAGATATATTTCTGCGGAAAACTAATTTAGATCCTTCAACTCACGCGCTCAAGTAACCTCATGACTTGCACACCTTTAATATTTCCTTGCCATAATGTGATTCAGTTGTTTTCCACTTAATAAACCTATCCATCACGGGAATTTATGTCAACCAGGCCCAGCTCTTAAATGACTCACTTTCCCAAGTGCTCAAGCAGGTACGACAGTCAAAAAGATGGGTTTCTTGGTAGGAAAAACGTTCTCGTTTGTTAGGTTAAAGTTTCCGACTTTTGTCTTCTTCTTTTTTTTCTTTTAAACACATTTTATTAGTTTTTTTTAATTTCTTAAGAAAAAGTACTCAAGACCCACCGTGGTGTTTGGGTGGTCAAACACTCAAAAGTAAAGACATATATAAACAGCTCAGCACAATACATTTCGCTGTCCCTGTTCTATTACCCTCGAATAACATAATACATTTAAAATATTCCATTTCTATTTTAAATTTCTATAACTGCTCAACCTGTTTTATAACTTTATCAGTTTACGATTACCATCCTTTAGCTTTAAAACAGCAAATTATCAATTCTAATGCTTAATCTCTCACATCCCTCATTTTATCACCAATCTCATTTGTTTCTTCTTCCACAACACAGTAAATATCCAAATAGTAATAAAGTATTAATCAACCCTTCTGTCTTCTGAGCTGGGCGCCACCAGGTCCTAAACCTTGCCAGGTCTCTCCAGTTAAATAAGAACAGCCCACCTTCGACACTGCTGCGGGTCCTCAGTCACCCGGCATTTAAGACCTCCCTGCTTATCCCATCACCTCTGCAATTTAAAATCTTTCTAATCTTAAATCAATTCTGATTTTAAGGTTAATTTTACTGATTATATTCTACATTGCCCAGAGCCCCTCTGGGAGGTGTAAGTAAGTAAGTAAGTAAGTAAGTAAGTAAGTAAGTAAGTAAGTAAGTAAGTAATTTTTCGCTCAAAACTCAAGATCCTTCTATGGCTAGTCACATTTGGCCAAATAAAGCATTCTATTCTATTCTGTTGTTCTGTTCTGTACCATTTTATTCTGTTTCATTTGATTCCGCTCCACTCTGTTCTGATTGTTTTGTTCTGTTCTCCACTCCTCCCTATTCTATTCTATTCTATTCTATTCTATTCTATTCTATTCTATTCTATTCCATTCTATTCTATTCCATTCCATTCCATTCCATACTGTCTATTCTATTCTATTCTATTCTATTCTATTCTATTCCATTCCATATTTTCTGTTCTATTCTATTCTATTCATTCCATATTCTATTCTATTTTACTCCATATTCTATTCTACTCTACTCCTATTCTATTCTTTCATATATTCTGTTCAATTCTATTTTATTCTAGTCTAGTCTACTCTACTCTGTTCTGTTTTACTCTATTTTAATTTCCATTCCATTCCCTATTCTATTCTGTTCTATTCCTGAGTTTAGTGTTCAGTGTTATAACTCTGTGATGAACATCCCTCACTATTTTTATGTTTTCCTTCATTTCCTGAGCCTCAGTTTTCACCTCCAACACAACTGTCTCTTCAATGTGTAAACTTGAGGATGATGGTGTGTTGGACCACCCAACTCCCAAAAAGACTCTGAATGCCTTATAATACATTTAGAAGTCATAATGTCCGTATTTCTTCAAAGAGAGAAGTCAAGAAAAAGAGATTGCATAAAAGCTCCTCCTTCCCCACCTATTCTCCAAAGCACCTGAAGGCCGGACAAGAAACAATGGCTGGAAACTGACCAAAGAGAGAAGCAACCTGGAATTAAGGAGAAACTTCCTGACAGTGAGGACAATTAACCAGTGGAACAGCTTGCCACCAGAAGTTGTGGGTGCTTCATCACTGGAGGTTTTTAAAAAGAGCCTGGGCAGCCCCTTGTCTAAAATTGTACAGGATCTCCTCCTTGAGCAGGGGGCTGGACTAGAACAGGGGTCTCCAACCCCTGGTCCATGGACAGGGACCGGTCCACAGCACGCTAGAAACTGATTCATGCAAACAAATGAAGCTCCAACCATGGAATGCCAGCAGCAGGTGAAACCATGCACCCTCCGGTTCGTGGAAAAACCTCCCTCCACGGAACCGGACCCTGGTATTGAAAAGGTTGGGGGACGTTGGAGTAGAAGACCTCCAAGGTCCCTTCTAGCTCTATTGTTAAAAAAAAAAGAAAGAAAGACCTGAACAACCATCTAGGTCAGGGGTCCCCAACCCCCGGCCCATAGACCAGTACCGGGCCATGGCATGCCAGCAACCGGTCCGCACAAACAAGCAAAGCCACATATGGAGGATGCAGGCAGCACACAAAACCACACACCCTCGGGTGCACGGAAAAACCTCTCTCCACGGAACCGGTCCCTGGTGCCCAAAAGATCAGGGACCTCTGATCTAGGTGGCCTCTAGGAACCAACAATAATTGGATGCCCCATACTGTATAATCAATGCCTAACTCTGCTAAAAGGCTCTAATGCTGGGAAAGGTAGCTGGAAGGATGTCTATGGAGATTCTCAGTCCTCCAGTTCATGGCTGTCCCAAAGGGGCTTTTTCAGCAGGCAACTGGACTTTCTTGCTTTTCTTTGAAGTCATTTCGCTTCTCATCCAAGAAGCTTCTTCAGCTCTGACTGGATTCCATTCCCCTCCCATTGCCCACCATTCTAGTTGGAGCTGAAGAAGCTCCCTGGATGAGAAGCGGAAACGTCTTCAAGGAAAAACCAGGAAGTCCAGTTGCCTCCTGAAAAAGCATATCTGGGGTAGATGGAAGGAGGAGGAAGAGGAGAAGAGGAAGGTCAGAGAAGAAGAAAAATGTCAGAGAAGAAAAATGTCAGAGAAGAAGATGAAAAATGTCGAAGAAGAAGAAGAAGAAGAAGAAGAAGAAGAAGAAGAAGGGAAGAGGAAGGTCAGAGAAGAAGAAGAAGAAGAAGAAGAAGAAGAAGAAGAAGAAGAAGAAGAAGAAGAAGAAGAAGAAGAAGAAGAAGAAGAAGAAGAGTAAGAGGAGGAAGGTCAGAGAAGAAGAAGAGTAAGAGGAGGAAGGTCAGAGAAGAGGAAGAAGAAGAAGAAGAAGAAGAAGAAGAAGAAGAAGAAGAAGAAGAAGAAGAAGAAATGTCAGAGAAGGGAAAAAAAATGTCAGAGGAGAAGGAGAAGAAGAAGAAGATCCGTTCCGAAGCAATGTGGCTGTTAAATCACACCTAATTTTATAACTTTTTTTGCCACACTTGTTCAGAAGACCATCACCACCATCACCCTCACCTTATTCCGATGCCAATGAAGACCCCACTGCAAGGCCTGCTGCCAGGCTGGGAGACAGATCCTCCCGGACCAAAAAATCCACTCGATCCCTAAGAGTCCAGCCTGGCTGGACGGCGCTTGGTCAACTCAGCACCCAGAACCGACGTGTAACGTGACTCCCTCCGCCCTGCTCCCCATCAACCCACCAACCCCAGAAGCCCCCCCCCATTCCCCATTCACACCTTTGCAAGGGCTATGGGGGGGGGGACAGAGGAGGGACCCCCTCCCCGCCTGGGATAGCAGGAATCGGGGCGGGGGGGGCAAGGAGGGGTCTCGTAGCATCTCCCCCCGCCCTCCCCGGATCCTCCCCGCCCCTCAGAAGAGAAACTCGATGCCCCCGCCCCACTCGCATCCCCCGCTGTGGACCCCAAGCCCCATCCTCCGCGCTCGGGCTGGGGAAGATGGGGCGGTGGTCCGAGACCCCCGCGGAAGGGAGGGCTGCCTTGAGGAGGAGGGCGCCCCCCGTCGGCCGACTCACTCTGGCAGGTAGGTGGAGGAGAAGCTGCTCCAGCGGTGGAGGGTGTAGGCCAGGACCCGGCTCCCGAGGAGCCCCGACGACCCTGGGCCGAAGCCTAGGCCCGACGCCGCCATCTTGTCAGCCGCCGCGACGGGGAGGAACCATAGAGTGGGCGGAGGGGAGAGAGAGAGAGAGAGGCGCGCTCTCCCGGCTTTCACTTCCGGCTGCCGCGGAGACGCTCGCTTCTCTTGGGTGGCTTCGGCCACGCATGTTCGCGGTAGAGCCGGAAGTAGGAGGGTGCTCACGACCACTTCTCTTTGGTGGCCTCGGCCACGCACCCCCTCTAGAACGGGGGTCTTCAAACGTGGCCCTTTGATGACTTGTGGACTTCAACTCCCAGAATTCCTGGCTGAGGAATTCTGGGAGTTGAAGTCCCCAAGTCATCAAAGGGCCACGTTTGAAGACCTCCCTGCTCTAGAAGATGTTTCGCGGTAGAGCCGGAAATATGGAGCTCACGCGGGGGGGGGGAGAGTTTCACCGTGTCTCATAGGGAGAGGGGAGGGAGGGGAGAGGAGAGAGGGCGGGGGGGGGGTCTTAAAGGGGCCGCCGCGCGTTTTTCCACTTAATGAAGGGAATTACAAATGCCTCTGGCTGCTTTGGCTAATACAGGTAGTCCTCGACTTATGGCCACAACGGAACCCAAAATTTATGTTGCTAAGTGAGACAGTTGTTAAGTGAGTTTTGCCCCCTTGTTACGACCGTTCTTGCCACTGTTGTTAAGTGAATCGCTGGAGTCGTTAAGTTAGTAACCCGGTTGTCTCACAAGAAGCTTCTAGAAGGAAAAAAAATTAGAAGATGAGACATGGATGGATGGGCGGACGGACAAATATGAAAGGGCTGATATACAGATGAGAGAGTAGATAAATGATGGATGGATGGATGGATGGATAGATGATAGAGACAGACATATATGTATAGACTGACAGATGAGTAAATAGATAGTGGATGGACAGATGTGATTAATGTATGGATGGAAGAATGGATGGATGATTGAGAGGATATATATATTTATATATATATATATATATAGAGAGAGAGAGAGAGAGAGAGATGGATAGATAGATAGATAGATAGATAGATAGATAGATAGATGGATAGATAGAAATAGAGAGATGATAGATATACATTGCTGAGATAGATAATAGATAGATAGATAGATAGATGATAGATATACATACATACATACATACATACATACATACATACATAGAAATAGAGAGGTGATAGATATAGGTAGGTAGGTAGATAGACAGACACACACACACAGAGAGATCCTTGCTTTATCATAACTTATGTCTGTAAAAAGAAAAGGGATTTTGAAATAAATAATATTGTTTAAACTGCCCCTAAATCTATAGACATGAGCTGTCAGTTGCAATAATGCTGTTACTCTTTGATGGCCAGAAATGGAAGGATGAGCTGGCAGCTGATAGGTAATCCAGGGCTTAATTAAAGCACTTAATGCTCCTTAATGGCTGGAGATCTTTTCCCAGACTTGGGAATGACTCAGCTCCCTTAACAGGAGGTGCTTCGAAGCAGTTCTTCCGGCTCCTTCCGTTGGGAAAGCGTTGAAGAATGGAGTGGCTGTGCCCCTCAGGGCAGAAACTGATTCTTGGTTTGGAAAAGGTGAACCACCGTGCAGGACAGGCAGGAAAAGATGACGTACGCGTGACCACATTCTCACAACTTAGGTACTTGTGTTCAGGTGTCAAGTCAGAAGTACCTAAGGCAGTGGTTCTCAACCTTTTTAATGCCGCGACCCCCAACCGGTCGTAAGTCGAGAACTCAACCGGTTGTAAGTCGAGGACTACTCAACCGGTTGTAAGTCGAGGACTACTCAACTGGTGCAGCCCCGTTTGCAGAATGGGACTTTTGGCGGGCTCAGCAGGGCAGAGACAGCCTGGACAATTCCTATTGGCTTTTGAAAGCCAATAGAATTAGACTCTGTTCAAGAGAGTCTATTCTATGGGCTTTCAAAAGCCAATAGAATAAAAGGGAGTAGCACAGCTAAGGAAAAGGGGGGAAAAAATGGCGGACTGCGTTGTTTGGCGACCCCCGTGAAATGGTCGTTCGACCCCAAATGGGGTCCCGACCCACAGGTTGAGAACCACTGACCTAAGGGTAGCACGTGTCCTCGTTCTGGGCATCATCCGGGTTTCTACGGTATGATGACTGAGCTTCCATGTTTAGGAAGAGTTGCAGGACAGGTAGTCCTCAACTTACGTCTATTCATTTAGTGGCCATTCAAAGTTGACTTATAACCATTTTTCACAGGGCTGTTGCATCCCCGGGTCACTTTTTTCAACGCTGATTAATTTTTTTCAGTGCTGTTGTAACTTAGAACGGTCACTAAACAAATGGTTGCAAGTCCAGGACTACCGGTCTGGTTTCTGGGTATTGTTTTATTTTATGCTGATATTGTGGGGTCCTCGGTGCTCGCTGAGCTGGGTGGTTTTCTTGCAGACATTTCATTACCAAACTAGTAGAATCATCAGTGCATCATCCAAGCACTGATGATGTTACGTAGTTGGGTCATGAAATGTCTGTAAAGAAACCACCAAAGCTCAGAGAGCGTCGAGGACGCCATAGTCTTTTTTCTCCTCCTACTCCCCCCCTCCTCCTTTCCGCTAACCCCACTTTCCTTCTAGCACTGATGATGTTACCTAGTTGGGTCATGAAACGTCTGCAAGAAAACAAGCAAGCTCCGAGAGCACCAAGGACCCCACAGTCTTTTTTCTCCTCCTCCTCCTCCTCCTCCTTTCCAGAAACCCAAGTGTTTTAGTACTGATGATGTTACCTAGTTTGGTCATGAAATGTCTGCAAGGAAACCACCAAGCTCAGAAAGCACCAAGGATGCCACAGTTTTCCTCCTCCTCCTCCTCCTCTCTGCAAATCCCACTCCCTTCTAGCTACCTCCAGAATTCATGAATGCTCCAATTCTGGAAGTTTTTAAGAAGAGACTGGACAGCCATTTGTCTGAAATGGTATAGGGCAGTGGTTCTCAACCTTTCTAATGCCGTGACCCCATAATACAGTTCCCCATGTTGTGGTGACCCCCAAGTGGGTGTGGCCACCAATAAGAGGGCGTAGGACAGCTAGGGAAAAGGGAACAAAATGGTGGACAGCATGGTTTGGCGACCCCCATGAAATGGTCGTTCGACCCCAAATGGGGTCCCGACCCACAGGTTGAGAACCACTGGTATAGGGTTTCCTGCCTGAGCAGGGGGTTGGACTAGATGACCTCCAAGGTCCTTCCAACTTTATTATTATGGATCATCGCACAGTCAACCAGATGTTCAGACTGGATTTGGCATTTTGTCTACCTATCGAGTCCTTACCCAGGACCTGGGATAGGCAAATGTGGATGTTTGATGGTATTACAGATATCGTCGCAGGATGGAAGCAGTTCCTAATAAGGCCGCCTTTTGCAATTGACTAATAGCGAATTTGTCAATGCCGATGATGGTGTTCAAGTGGTGCTCCAGTTGTTTTGGGATTGCACCCAAGGAGCTTATGACTATTGGTACTACCCTTGCTTGCTTTTGTCACAGTCTTTCTACTTCTATTTGTAGGTCTTTGTATTTTGTTATCTTCTCCAGTTCTTTCTCTTCTATTCTGCTGTCTCCAGGCACTGCCACGTCCACTATCCAGACTTTTTTGTCTTTCTTATCGACAATTGTTAAGTCCGGGGTGTTATGTTGCAGGTGCTGGTCTGTTTGAATTCTGAAGTCCCAGAGCAGTTTAATTTTATCATTTTCTATGACTTTCTCTATTTTATGATCCCACCAGTTTTTGCTTACAGGCAACTGATATTTTTTGCAGATCTTCCAATGCACCATTGTTGCTACTTTGTCATGCCGCTGCTTGTAATCAGTTTGTGCAATCTTCTTGCAACAGCTTACCAAGGGGTCCACTGTTTCTTCAGCTTCTTTGCATAGGCGGCACTTACTGTCTGTTGCTGTCTTCTCAATTTTGACTTTGTATGCATTTGTCCTTAAGGCTTGGTCTTGTGCAGCCAGAATTAGTCCCTCGGTCTCTTTCTTCAATTTTCCTGCTCTTAGCCATTGCCAGGTCTTGTTGTTATCTGCTTTCCCAGCTATTTTTTTAACGTATTGGCCATGTAGTGCTTTGTCTTCCCATGCCTCTATTCTGTTCTTCATTTGGTCTTTCTTGTAGGCCAGTTTGGTCTCTCCAGTAGTCAGTAAGCCTTCCTGATATACTAATTTCAGTGCATCTTCATCACTGTCCTTCAGATATTCTTTCAAAGCCATTTTTTCTTCTTCGACCATCTGATGTACTTGTAGCATTCCACGCCCACCTATTTGCCTTGGTAGATAAAGTCTATCAATGTCACTGCGTGGATGAAGGGCGTGATTCATTGTCATTATTTTTCTGGTCTGCCTATCCATTGCTTTTAGTTCTGCTTTAGTCCAGTCCACTATTCCAGCTGTGTACCTAATGACTGGGATTGCCCAGGTGTTGATTGCCTTTATGGTATTTCCTCCATTGAGTTTGGACTTTAAGATCTTCTTCACTCTCTTGATGTATTCACCTCTAATCTTTTTCTTGATTATTATTATTATTATTATTATTATTATTATTATTATTATTATTACTGCTACTACTACTACTACTACTACTACTACTACTACACTTAACAACCGTGTCACTCACTTAACAAGTGCAGTGATTCACTTAGCAACTATGGCAAGACAAGTCGTAAAAACTCACGGAACGAAGGTTTCACTTCGCAACAGAAATGTTGGGTTCATAATTCAAGGACTACCGTAAATGCCGGCGTATAAGACGACTTCCGCGAACGCTGAAATCGGCGCCAAAGACAGGGGTCGTCTTATACGCCGAGTCGTCTTATACGCCGGAAATACTGGTAGTTTCCGGCGTATAAGACGATGTTCTAGGAATGCAGCCCGGCTATAAAGACAGAGGTCGTCTTATACGCCGGGTCGCCTTGTACGCCGGCATTTACAGTACTTACCGTGTTTCCCCGAAAGTAAGACCCACCTGGAAAATAAGCCCCCACCCCCTTAAGATCATCAGCCAGACGGACGCATTTAGTACTGTATTTCCCCAAATATAAGCCCTACCTGGAAAATCAGC